ACACCATTAGAGACTAGAAGAAGGCAATTTTGGAGCTTGAGACTCATTTCTTTTCATCTTTCCAAGTTATTTGGTAGTTTCTTTATGCAATTAGACTTTTGTGATTGTTATTCTATTGCCATGAGTGGCTAATTTCTCTATTTTGGTTAGCCTTGGCTAAAACCTTTGAATGTTTGTGGGTTTTTGAAGGATTCATGTTTATTTATCATTTATCTTATGTCTATGATTCTAGTTCATATTTCCTATGCTTGTTTAATGCTTTGATCATGAGCTTGATACTTGGATAAGCAATTGTTGGTTTATTTCTTTGGTTTAGCATTGAATCATTGAATTTACTTAGAACAAAGACTTTATGATGGTAGAAATCATCTCTAGCTTATGAATCATAACTCCTTTATGGATGTGTAAGCATTGACATCCTCTAGGAATTGGGGATTCCTTCATTCTTAAGGCTAATCAACTTCTTGGGTTCAATTGCTTCAATTGGATCTTTGATTTTGATTAAGAAGGTGTGTTATGGGCTTCCCCAACCACCATACTACTTATGAGGAATCTTGGCATATCATGCTTCATGATTGCTATAACCAATTTGGGATGAATGATAAGCTTCATATTGAATCCTAATGATAACACACAAATGTTCATTGTGTTGAATTGCCTTGGTTAACCAATTCTCACCAATATTTGAGCATCTCATCATCTTGCTTAATTGCAAGATTTTTTGTCATTCAAGTCTTTTAGTTTTCAAGCAATCACAACACCCCCCTTTTAGTTTAATTGTAGTTAGTTAGTTAGTTTACACTAGTTCTATTGGATTGAATTGGTGATTGAATACAACCATTTCCCCGATGATCGATACCCCTTTTTACCATTATATTATGTTTTATTTGCAAACAAATGGTGTAATTTGCTTGGTGGACTTGACATCCCACCAAGTTTTGGCGCCGTTGCCGGGGATCGAACCCGGGTCACCCGCGTGACAGGCGGGAATACTTACCACTATACTACAACACTGAAGATCATATTTTTATGCACAACACCACTCTGAAATGTCCAAAAGGACGGCTCAAATGACTTAGAGTAACCCATACTCAAAATGCCAAGCTAATGGGACCAAAATGTTCACAAATTCAAGGCTAACAAGATCTTAAACAAATCATCATCAAGTTCAGAGCTTTTTACCTTAAAAAGATGCCAAATAGTGATGAGATTTTGGATCTAAGGTGCATTACTCTTCCAAGGTGGTCCTCTCTTCTTCTGTGACATCCCCAATTTTACAGCCCGAAAAGACCGATTTGTTTATGCTTTATTAAAAAAAAATCAGAGTATCTTTTAAAGAAATACATTGCGGAATTTGTTCCCAGAAAAACATGATAATTATGTTATCAAATCATTTCCGAGGAAATGTATTTTATTCATTTTAAAAATTTGGGATGTCATTGTCAATACAAAAACATAAGCATAAACAGAACTTACATTCATTTACACTAGTGATTTTACATCTCCTTTAATCTCTCAGTGTAACGTAGCTTCGTATTGACACCTGTGATACAAATAACTTGAGTGGGTCAGGTTGAGAAACCTTGTGAGTACATAGGGTTTTCAACCCACAATAATTGTGTTTTATCATCAAACAATTAACCCAAATACCCATCCCCATTATCATCTTTATTTCTTAAGGATTTACCCTAAGAATCATCTATCACTCATTCCTAAGGATTCATCCTAAGGAATAGGCACGAAGTACATCGTCGCCATGGTTTATACAACAAGCACTAAATTCATAGTTGCCAAGGTTCATCCAACAGGTGCTAAGTCCATAGCTCTCATTTATCGATAGTATTATTTGCGGGAGTCCACCTGCAATACATGTCAATGGGTTTTTAGAGTACACCAGGTGAACATATTGTTCACAACACCTACAGGTTGCGAGCCTACTAGTGTTCCACAAACCGTCTAGAATAGTCCATGTTTGTCATCCATACTCTGCTAGATGATGGGGCCAACGTTTGGGTAAAGACTTCTCGTATTTTTCACCCCTCACCCTCATCTCATGATCTATATCACCGATCATCTCATTTATCCAACTCATCTTTCATCACATACCAACTATTTCATCTACCCATGTTTTACCCAACATTTTTGTAGATATAAAATACATATACCGTTTAAATCATTTAAAACCTGTATAAATCATTCATTCAACATTCATCTCAAATAAACAAACAATATATATTCACATAGCACGTATTTTATATAAAATACTTCATATCTATGTGTAAGATGAAAGTGACTATACACTCACTTGATAAGGTGGTGATTGGACAGCACTTCGTTCCTTAAAACAATTTTTTTCGACGAAACCGGGAGGTTTGCTAAAAAACCGGGCTTCACACGAGCAGAGTTTCGACTCGAAAAAATTATTTTATCGGGGTCTTCGGAGCTTCGGGACTTGCTTCGGGTATTAGGGAGGTTCCCTAGGCTTCGGGGTGGTTTAGAGTAGGCTAAAAGGGAGTAGAGAGTGAAAGAGAGAAGGATTTTGTAACATTACTTCGGTTGGCTTCGGATCCTATTTATAGGTGGCTGATGCCTCGAATTACGATAGGCGTAATATCATGGTACGCGGGGCGTACTACTTCACCAGCCACTACGTTGGGCGTAACTTCGGTACGCTGGGCGTACGAGACGTGACGCCTGATCGGGTTCCGAGCTTCGGACGCGTCATAGCTACAAACAAGCGTCCATCATGCGAAGGAGTAGGGGGTGACCGACTCCGGATCACGTACACGAGTACGCTGGGCGTAATCCTAGTACGCTGGGCATACTCCTTCGGACCAGCCTCGGAATTTGGGCCTTGAACTTTAAAAATTCGTAACTTTCGCATATGGGCTTCGTTTTCGACGTTCTTTATATCCACGTGTAAGTGAGATTATACTCTACAACTTTCGTTTAGACTCCGTCGGCTAATTTTGACTTTATTTTTAAAGTTATATTTTTAACGGGCCAGGACAAGAAAAGTCCGTTAAAAATTCATAACTTCTTCATTCGACGTCCGTTTTCATCTGTCATTTTACCCTTAAACTACTATCGACAAGATCTTCGATTCTCGTTTAGGTTGTGTCGGTTGTGTCGGCTAAAAATCGCTCGATCTATAATTAGAGTTCCGGACTTCATACTGCTATGTCAAATCTTAGAAAATTCATAACTTCCTCATACGACGTCAGATTTGGACATTCTTCTTATGCACACTCTCAGTTTAACGTATACTACGACTTTCATTTAGATCGCTAAGGCTAAAAAGCACTTTATTGTAAATTCACTTTTTACGTCACACAACGTCATGCCGGTTCTGTCGCGAAACTTCGACAGGTCATAACTTCCTCGTTATAACTCGGATTTCGGTATTCTTTATATCTTTGGAATCCTTGTTACGACACTACAACTTTATTCATAGATATCGGGTTTATATAACGTTTTATTTTTATCCTTAATTTATTATATCATCATAATTAAATATAAGGTACATAAATTCACATAATTCATCCTTATTACTTCAAAATGAGTTACAACGGTTGACCTAGACTATTACATCATCTTTCATGCTTTATCCCAGAAACACAGACGTTACATCTTCTCCTTCCTTCTTAATCACCAAAAGTACCCACAAAAGATTAATAACACTCTCAAGGTGGATTAGGGCTATAGATGGACGAAATGGCAAGTGGAGGCAGAAGAGGGAATGATAAAGGAGGAGTTAATGATGTTTATATATGGACCAAACCCTAAAAATTAGGGTTTGAGGATCCTTCACGTACGCCCTACATATACAGTGTACGCCCAACGTACTAAGGCCTGCACATATACGCCTAATGTACACAACGTACGCCCAGCGTACCAAGCCTTGGCCTGATTTTTACGAAAATGCCACTAAGAGCCAAAATGCAGTCAATTCTCATACTAAGGGGTTAAAAGGTAAATACTTGAAAATCGAGATGTTACATAATGTTAGGAAGGACCCCAAGGGGTTAAAGTCCTTAAATAGGGCTCATAACCACGAAAATAAGGTTTTTACTCTACGACGTTACGCCCATCGTACCTAAAGTTACGCCCAACGTAACGCCCTAAAAACACGACTCGCACAACTAGTACGCCTAACGTACTGCCAAACTCTCTTCTCCCACCTTAACTTCAAACAACCATAATTTCTTCGTTGCAACTCCGTTTTCGACGATCTTTATATCCACTGAAAGGTATCGACGAGCTCTACAATTCTATCATGATACTTATGGCTAAAAACATCTCAAACTAAAATCCTTAATTTATGAAAGAAGTCCGAAACATAACCCTTCCCATATTACCCCTCAGCTTCCATTGAACAATCCAAGGTTTAAATCACCTATCCGACATCATACACCTCCAATAGAGTCTAAGCTCCATTCCATCGAAGCCCAAGGCCTCCATTTGATCCATTAATTGTCCATAATCCTGAAATAAGAACTTCTCGAAACAGGATGTTACAGGAAGTGATTCGTACATAACCATTTTTATTCCTACACAACAGTTTATGCTTTATAGGAGTGTACAATAGAACATTTTAAAGTACGGCTGAACATGGTACGGTAGCGGGCATTTTTTCTCGAAATCGAGTACCGTACCAACTATATTTGGTAGAGAAATTTAGCTACCATTACCATACCAACTATACTTGGTACCAACTTCTTGGCTACCAACAATTTTGGTTGGTACATATTGGTACTGGTATATACCAAAAACTCAAACTAATATGAATTTGAAGAGTTCAACCGTTGATAATTTATATAAGTCTTCACATTATAATCATCACCCATGGTTCGGAAGTTTTCCGAACTCGAAAACAAAATAAGCAAAAACTAGGTTGGGTGTTTAGTATTGTATTTACACATTATCTAAAAAATAAAGTGGCATCATCCACCAATAAAGTAACAAAATATGTAGCATCCATGCATTGATGTTGTGATGCCCTAGCTTGTAGCATTTCCGACTGCCTCGCCCACTTGATTATAAAGATTTTCTACAAAGAAAGTAACAAAAAGGAATATATTAGTCCTATTAGTCTAAGAAGTGGTAAGTTGATTTGTGATATAGTAATATGGGCGGTGTAAAAATATTCTAGATTCAACTTACCTTTCTCGCATTCTTCTAATTCATAATAAAACTTTAAGGCATACTCAGTTGGATCTTCATATAAGCTGAAGTTAACAGGAGAGGCACGTAACCAATCAGTTGTGCAAACAAGAGCTTCAACTGTTTTTGGTGTCAATGAAGCTCTAAACAGATCAACCACTCGTGAACCTAAACTGAATGCGTTCTCTGAAGCCACGGTTGAGCAAGGTACATCAAATGTATCTTTAGCTAACTTTGATAGAACTGGATATGTTGATTCATTAAGAAGACTAATATATCTATCGGATAAATATTGGTCGACCTCATTCATTATGCATTGTGATTGCTCTGACATCCTTTGTTTTTCTATCTCCGTGCTGATTTCATCAAGCCCATCTAGTTCATCATCATACACACCCAAATCTTCCACAACATAATGATAACTTTGTTCAGGGTCCCTAATCTCAACTCTTTTGTATTCATCATACATCCTCATCAATATTCTCTTTAAGTCACTTTCTATTGACTCAATTACTAGATGACTTGCCTTAACCTTATTCAAAGCTATTTTAGCCCACTGCAACTTGTATCTCGGATCAAGAACATTAGCTATCATGACAACCTTGTTAATTGACTTAATACTTCCCCAATACTTATTAAACTTTGATTTCATAGAAGTTGCAACCCTCTTCAGAATAAGATCTTCTGTAAGCGTGGCCTTATCGATGTCGGTCTGTAATGTAATCATTTCCACAAACAATATATTAGAAGTGATAGACTTTCATGCACTAAGTCTTAGAGTAGCATCATAGAACTTCTTTAGAAACACACAAAAGGCTTCCGCATTCCTCAATCATCTTTAGATGGGGGCCCAATCCTTACATTACCAGATTTGTCTTTTTCTTGAAAATAACTCTTGAATGGGCAATCCTCTTCAACCATTCTGTCAAAAGTAGACTCATACTTAAGTGCAACTACAAGCATAATATATGTGCTATTCCATCTAGTGATGACATCTGATGGAACATTAGCATTTGCCTTGCATTGCTCCAAAACAGAAAACTCCCTAAACTTGTCAAGTCTTTATGATGAACTCCTGACATACTTCACACAGTTCCATATTGTTACAACCCCACCCTTTAACTCCTTTAAACCATCCTTCACTATCAAGTTGATGATGTGGCATGCACATCTTATATGCAAAAAATCCCCATCAAACATTAATGTCTTGTAACTGGAAAGCCTTCTTTTCATGTACGACACAGCCACATCATTAGCACTTGCATTATCTACTATGATAGTAAACACTTTGTTAATCTCCCACTTCCTTAAACATTGCTCTATTTCCCTCCCAATATCATCACCTTTATGAATAGTAATACTACAAAAGTTGAGTATTTTTGTGCAACTTCTAATCAGTGTCCAAAAAATGAGAAGTTAAAACCATGTAGTTTATATTTTGTATTGATGTCCAAGTGTCGGTAGTGATAGAAACCCTCGTACCACTTGCCTTTAGCTCACTTAACAAAAGCTTCTTCTCTAAATTATACTTATCTAGCACACCCTTAGCAACTTGTCTCCTGTCCAGTGAATTCCAAATAGGTTCCAACTGTTTGCATAATGCTTTAAATCCAACCTTCTCTACACAACTTAGATTGTGTAGGGTCAACTTTTACATGCAATGGGTGTGTAGTACATTTCCCAGTATGTGCCCACATAGAGCTAGTCCCATTCTTTTGTTGATCACACAATACTTTCTCATTGCAACTGTCACATGTACACCAAGTAGGATCTATTTTATCTGAATAACACCTTGTAAAAAAATCCCAAAGAGGACTTTTGTTAGCAGGCTCTTTTCTTTTTCTGGAACCTACAACTGAAGATGCTGTAACCGATGATACAGGAGATTGTGTGCCACCCGAACTACCTCCTTGTACACCTTCTGTTGCCATAGCCCTTTGTAAAACTACATATCAACAAATCACACAAACATTAAATTTAGCCATTAAACATTTACGGTAATGGTGATGTAAGAATATTTCCAAAAAACCATTATATACAAAATTACCAGAAAATATTTACTATTAATCACAATTTCATGACGAAAATGCAAATGCTCTAAAACCTTCAAATGCATTACCATTATTTTACGGTAAAGTAAAAGGAACCAAACTTACAAAAGAGATTAACGTTTTATAAAATTTACACAATCTTATAATTAAGAATGCAATTCATTAGAATAAACAAGAAACTTAGATGAAATAAATCATAATAAAATATAAGTATTGTAATCTTGTCTTCAATATGAAAACTGTAAGACTTTATGGATGAAAAATAGGTTTATAAGTTTACCCACCTCAATCACCAAAACTTTCTCCTTCTTAAAATTGTAATTGCTCTTTTAAGCTTGATGCGTTGAAGGGTATAACACTAAAATATGAGTGATTGAATGCATAAACAAACCAATATGAGAAAGGAAATTTTGGTGTTTCTAAGGCTTTCATAATTTGGTTTTTTTTTGTGTATGTTAAATTGGGGGTTTTGAGATTTGACGTCCTTTTCAAGATATTTATCTCTACATTGAAAAGAGGAGCATAAATTAATTTGTCTTTTACTGAAGTTCTTATTTGTCATTTTTTTTTAAATTTATTAACTAATTTTTTTATTTGGGTATTAATTGAGAGTAATCGTAAATAGTTGTGAGCATCAAGTAATAACCCAAGCCTTAAATTATAACCAACAGTCATTTGTAAAATGATATATATATATATATATTATATATATATATATATATATATATATATATATATGATTAAGTTCATGTGAGACCACTATATTTTTAAAATGCAAAATAATTGAAAATTTTCGAATTTTTTTAAAAATATTATTTTCGTCACTTTTTTTATCCAAAAAAAAAATACTGTTTTTTTAAATATATGTGAAATATTCTAGTAGAATATTAGAATATTTTACATATCTGACAAATCTACTAGAATACTATAATATTCTAACATTATAAAAATAACATTGGAATATTTACAGTGTAATATTCTATTAGAATATTTCACGTATTTTAAAAAAAAACAGTATATTTTTTTATTTTTTTAGGTAAAGAAAATGACGAAAATAATAATTAAAAAAAGAATTTTCGGATTTTTCCTTTTATTTTGCATTTTAAAATTATTTTTAGATTACGTCTCACGGTCTCACAAAATTAACATGGTCTCAAATGAACCTAAACATATATATATATATATATATAATATATATTATATAATTGGTTGGTACGGTATTACCGTGGTATTCAAAATTCTATACCATTACCGTACCAAGATTACTTAATTGGTACGGTATTACCGATCAAATATATTGGCTACCAACTTAATTGGTTCAGTTGGTAGCATATTGGTTGGTTTCCTTTGACACATATTTGGCAGCCCTATTTTAAAGCATATATTTTTGTGTATGGAAAAGTTGTTATGTGCCTCTAGGAGACAATGGTCCGCCTAATTTGCATATTAAAATAGTTAATCGCATGTATCTTTTTCATTCTAATTGCTTTGAATAGTTAAATCCAACTTGCTTTTTTTTAACAGCCATTCAAATATATAGAAAAAAACGCCAGCGGGAAGCTGGGCAACAAAACAAAGAGTACAAGAAGGAAGCAAACTATTACAACACCACTATATTAATACATGTAACTCAATTAGAACCCCAACAGAATAAAAATGCAACCCTCCCAAAGATATAGCAATGAAACCACTTGTGAAATACGAGACTAGCAATGAAGAAAATGTCAACTGAATTTGAGCCCATAAGCAAACAACACCAGGTGTAACAGTCATTTTCGGCAATGAAGAAGCACTGCTCCCACACGCAACCAACCGCCACTTAAGGGTACTTTTGCCAACATCAAAGGAAACACCACCTCTTAAAATACAAACTCACGTTCAGTACTTTACCTCCAACCAGAAAAAACCCAAAATTTAAACCACTTCAGCATCCACCAGTTTTTTCCAGCTACCCAGTAAGAATCTATGAAAAAACTCAAATCTTGAACCTGCAGAGAATCCATAAACATGAAATAAATTGAACCACACCAAAACACACACCCTAAATTAGTAAAAGAACCCAAGTACACCAAGAACAAGTATAGATATCGCAACCCACCTAAAGAGTTATCTACCCATGACTACCCACGTGAAACACACACCAAACACACACTAAAACACCATGCGATACCTACACACACCAAGATACACACACACACACA